GCCAAATAAATCAGCAATAGCTTGAGTTGTAATCTACCTCAATTAAAAGTTGGAAGTAATTTACACAGTTTATATATGCACGATACTCATTGACTAACGGTAATCTAGAGATAAGATTGGCTGCTCTCATGGATAGATGCCAGTGAGAGATGTATGCAGAGCCGTTATCAGTTAATTACTTATCTCGACTATCTCTGGCGATAATTGAGTTTACCTTTTCAGTGTGACTCATGCAGCTGGTGGCATTGACTAATTCGCAGCGACATAATCTCCACTCGGTGCCAAATTAAAACGAGGCCAAAGAACCTGCTCACAGAGCTGATTGACTGATAATTGAGTTTCATTTGGCAAATGATGCAATTGAATGCATGATTTTATTATTTTTCTCTTTTTTTTTTTTTTTTGCGCGCGACACTTGCACGCTAATTAATCCTTACGCCGTCGAAAACAAACATCAGCGCAAACAAGCGAGTGAGCGAGACGGAGATGGTGAGGGAGCGAAATGGAAAGCAAGAGCCAGAGAGAAGTATTGGGATTGGCTGCAGAGTCAAGTGTGCACAAATATTGCATAAGAAATAAAAAGAATGCTAGACTGTGAAATACCCTGAGTTAAGCAGCCAAGCTGAAAACAAACACAGGCAAAAGTATGGAATTTTCATAAAATATAGAATAACAAGTTATAACTTTTTCATTTATTACTGCACTTTAATAATTTTTATATTAATATATATCTAAAATTTGTAGTTATATTTAAGATTCGATTCAGAGATGCGAACAGATACTTCAGATAATGTCGTTAGCATTGCAATATGCAGTCACAGTGCATTACGGAGTCATTGATTATTGGGCTTAGTGCATATAAAAGGCTGACGACTCGATGATTCGCATGTCTGCCACGGACGGACTCGACTACAGCCTCAACCTTTGGCTGTGCTCCTGCTGCTGGGAGGGCGCTCAGCGAGCGACTTGCTGTGTACATATTTGTGCAGTTATGTTCACATTTGTACTGATCATAATGTACACACACACACACTGGCACACACACACGCCCTCACACTATGTGAATGTAGCCGTATGTACTCGCATGTATGTATATAGATTTCAGTCAAACACTCGAGCAAGCACAGACAAATTCTATTTGCAAACATTTCACTTGATTTGCAAGCGAGTAGCAGAGGCTGCACAGTCAGCCCACTGAGAGTCGTATCCTGGCACAGTGCGGACTGTATGTGTACGCTCTCGCTCTTGCTCTCTCTGTCTCTCTCTCCATCTCTCGCTTTCCCTCTGTTTGTATATTTTGTCTGGGTGTGTGTGCATGTTTCATCCAACGTATTTTTTAACATTGGCCCAGCCAGCAGCGGCGTTGACATTCGTGTAGGAGACGACGACGCGACTGCTGTTGGGTGTCAAGGACGAGGCAGGAGCCGGAGCCAAAAGCGGCAGCCATGATGAGTACGATGAGCGCCAAAGTTGCACTCGACAAATCGAAATTGTGTGCTCTGGAAAAATATTGGCACAAGAAATCATTCCTTCCTGTTGTTGGTGTTGGTGTTGCTGTTGGTGTTGGTGTTGGTGTCGTGCCTGTCTCTAACCCCATCCCCCTCACATCCATGTCCTGCTGCTGCTGTTGTTGTTGGCATCGTTGTCGGCACTTTGCTGTTGACATGATTGGGCGGGCTTTCATTTGCCAACTTGTCGCAAAATGTTTTAATATTTTCAAGTTGCATTTAATCCCCGGCCGAGCGCTCAGCCACGTGAATCGTGTAAACAGAGGCACGCGCTAGACGTTTTATGCCCCGTCTGCAGCTGATTATCCTGCGACCGTGTCGGCGTCCTTCAGCTCCTGGGCAGCCGCAGATCTCCAGCTGGATCCAGTGCTAGCTACAATTGTTAATCCAAAACCTAATGCGAAATTAAAAATTTCGCTGTGCTAAAAAAACAATGAACCAGACACGCGCACGCTCCCAGTCTGGCGGGGATTGCCGAAGGAATGGGCGGCTGAACAGGGCTGGTGCTGGAATTGGAATTGAGTTGGTCGGGGACGTAGGTCGTGGGTCGTGGGTCGTGGGTTATGGGTCGGGGATCGGGGATTGGGCAGACGTGGCTGGCTGGCCTTCATTGGGAATGTCTTTTGTGCTGTTTGCTCGCTTATTTGTTTGTATGTTTGGACTTTCTCCTGTTTCGTTTGCATTCGCAAATATTCCTGGCAACTGGAGCATCGACTTGGAGCTGGTACTTTGGCAGGAGTTGTTTACTGTTTTCCAGTTTCTGTTGCTGCTGCTGTTACTGTTATTGTTGTTGTTGCTGTTCAGCAATTTTTGCACAATTTACAGCGACTGAGGTCGAAACCTACTGTTGTTGCTGTTTGGGGCGTGTCTGGTTAGTGGAATCGAACAAATATGTTTACATTTAGCACATGTGCAATTATTTGATTAAAACTGTTAAAAGCACACAAAATCAGGCAAAAGTTTACCAACACCCTACCAGCTAGTCAGCAAGCAAAAGGAGTGTGAGGGATAGAGAAAGAGAGAGAGAGGAAGAGTGAGGCCCTAGACGGAGATACCCAGACGCGCAAATGGAGCAGCTATCGAGCTCCTCGTCGCTGCTTGTGATGTAAACTGGGCGTGCAAACAGAGTGAGACATAAGCGACCCAGCAGAGCCGAGAACCCAGAGCCGAGACTGGGGCGATGCTTGGATCTGCTCGGCAGCTAACCTAATGCGAAATGAAAACAAATTAAAATCAAACTTTCGAATTACTTCGAGTCTCGCATTTCAATGTAAATTCGAGCGACAACAAAGGGGCAGGCAGCGAACAGCCAACAGCCATCAGCCAAAGAGGCATCCACAACAGGCGAGAGAGTTTGCTCCCCAGTGCTGTTGACGTAGCTGCTGCTGGCCAGCATAGGAGCTGCATAAATTACGGCATTGGCGTTGGCTTTGGTATGTGGCAACACTCAAGTAATCCAAAATAGACAACAATTTCAAAATAAATTAACTTATGTATGCACAACTTCCACTTTTTGAACATCATCATAAGATTTATTCATATTTCCCATCTGTTATCCTTGTTAAAATTAATTACATTTTACAGTTTTATTTACTTATATTTTCATATGTCTCTTTTAAATAATAAATTATAAATTATTATTATTAATTGTTAATTATATTTACTAAATATAAATATTTACTAAAAATAAATATAAATATAAATAAATATCATCTGTTTGCAATGAGATAAGATGCCGTAAGAAAAAATTGGCTCCGACTGCCCATCATATAAATGTCAAAATGTTTTATACTTGATACTTTCAAGATATATCCATGCCTAATATTTTATTAATTAGTTCACAAAAATAATCCAATTCAGTATTTCTGTTTTGAATGATGTGTTCAAAACCGAGCAAAAAAACAATCTACTGTTAGCAATATAAAGTGAATGGGAGGTGTCAAAAACAAATAAATTAATTTGTATGTGGTATACATATTTTAATATTGAATGCCTTACCAAATGGATTTAAGAGATATATCTATGGACACATACTTTATTGTATCTTTACATTGAAATGAATATATATATATATATATATATATATATATATATATATATATATATATA